TTCTACATGCTGTAGCAGCCACTCTGAAAACAGGCCTGGCCAATCCAAAATGCACAGTAACACATATACGTGCACCCCAGTTCCTCACCACTGCCGTTTTTTACCTTTTCTTCATACTTTGTCTAATAAGCCACAAGAAAATTCGTGAATAAACATGTTTTGCTTTCTGTATGTGACCAGCCACTTTCAAAATGCCTTGGGCTCTCTTGGCCTGGCTTCACAACTCTATTTTGCCCTTGTAAGCAGCCTAAACTGAGACAGCCTCTACATCTCACTGACCTTTGCAGATCTGACATTGGGGTGCTTCTGAAAGCACCCATCACCCTCCCGTCTGCTGACATCTACCATGTGACATCTATCACATTAGGGAACATGAGACACACAGCAGTGCCCAAGCTGGGCTGCCGAAAGCTGTCAGCACTTCAGTTATTTTCTAGCTGGAAATACACTCCTGGGAGTGGGCAGGGCAGAGCGAGGAGGTTCAAACCCTGCTCTTGAGAGACAACAGAGATGTCTTCCTACAAATGTGTGCAAGCACTACCCATTTGCTCATCAGAAAAAATCTGGGATCAGCATTTGGATCCCAGATGAAGCGTTCAATCCATTGCAGATGGATCAACCCAAAGCATTTCAGGCAGTGTGGTGTGCATCTACTCCTCCAGATCAGTGGATGTGCCAAGCATGGTTTTTTTTCTAAGTATCAACTTATGCCATAGAGTATGTTTTAATTAATTTTTACTTTTTTTTGCAGTGCTGAAAGTACTGTTGTTCCAAAATCTTTCTTTTGAGAATGGTGTCACATTTGGATGACATTCTAACACCTTTCTAGCCGTGAAAGAATTAGGATAAGGAGCATAGGGAAATACTCAATAGGTTCATCATTTCATCAGCAAACTCTTTAAATAGCCACATTTGAAAGCAAACAACAGAAAACCCAGGCACATAGAATGACAGAGAAAGATAATTGGCCACCAGGTGTCAGTAGTTGTTCTCTTATTATAATGGAAGGATTAATATCAAGACTGCAAGGGTAACGGTTGAGCCAAGGAAGTCACAAAATTAAATGGATTTTTTGTTGTTGTTCAGACCAGGAATTTAAAAATAATCAGAAGAATTTGTCTTCCTGTCTGTATAGAGCACAATAACAAAGAACACACTGTGGGTGTATAAAATGGTCTTTTCCCTCCATTTCCTATTAAATCATTGCTTCTTTTGCAAATTACAAAGACTGGCCTTTAAAGCAAAGAAAATACAGCTGATGCAAATGCATCTGCAGTCAACCCATGCAAAAAATCACTGGGACCTGGTAGGTCTTGTTTGGTCTTGCCTGATTATCTCCACTCTGCTCTGCCTACCTTGCACTAGAACATCCCTCCTCCAAAGCGTGATTAAACATAGACTTTCCCCCCACCTACATGATCTCACTGGATGACACAGTAGCAAGAATAACCTGGTTAACCTGGTTCTGTGGCAGTCATAAGGTAATGTTTTCAATTTTTACATCTGAGATTAACTTTTAGGGGTTTTTTTTCATGACTGCAGAGCAAGTTCACTTGATTGTTACAGTGGCATCACTAAAATGTACCCCAGTATTTGTAACTTTAAGTCCTCAGAGACTTTTCCTATTCAGAAAGCAAAGATTTACTTTGGTAGCTAAAGAGACATCACCACTCCCCTCCTCTTCTAACACTGGCTGATGTGAAACATATGACATGGTATCATGCAGCACAGATATATCTTTATCATAGTCAGATCTTCATCAATGATCTGGACGAGGGCATTGAGTGCACCCTCAATAAGTTTGCAGTCAACACCAAGTTGGGTGGGAGTGTTGATCTGCTGGAGGGTAGGAAGGCTCTAGAGCGGGATCTGGACAGGCTGGATCGATGGGCTGAGGCCAATTGTATGAGGTTCAACAAGGCCAAGTGCTGGGTCCTGCACTTGGGTCACAACAACCCCATGCAGCGCTACAGGCCTGGGGAAGAGTGGTGGAAAGCTGCCCAGCGGAAAAGGACCTGGGGGTGCTTGTCGACAGGCGGCTGAATTTGAGCCAGCAGTGTGCCCAGGTGGCCAAGAAGGCCAAAGGCATCCTGGCCTGTGTCAGAAATAGTGTGGCCAGCAGGAGCAGGGAGGTGATCGTTCCCCTGTACTGGGCACTGGTGAGGCTGCAGCTCAAGTCCTGTGTTCAGTTTTGGGCCCCTCAGTACAGGAAAGACATGGAGGTGCTGGAGCGTGTCCAGAGAAGGGCAACGGAGCTGGTGAGGGGCCTGGAGCACAAGTCTGATGAGGAGCAGCTGAGGGAGCTGGGGCTGTTTAGTCTGGAGAAGAGGATGCTGAGGGGAGACCTGATCGCTCTCTACAACTACCTGAAGGGGGAGTGTAGTGAGGTGGGTGCTGGTCTCTTCTGTCAGGTGGCTGGAGATAGGACGAGAGGAAATGGCCTCAAGTTGCGGCAAGGGAGGTTTAGGTTGGATATTAGGAAAAATTTCTTTACTGAGAGGGTAGTCAGACATTGGAATAGGCTGCCCAGGGAAGTGGTGGAGTCACCATCTCTGGAGGTATTCAAAAAGCGCATAAACAAGATACTCCATAACATAGTTTAGTGGGCATGGATGATGGTTGGACTCGATGATCTTGAAGGTCTTTTCCAACCTAAATGATTCTATGATTCTATGAAGGATGCATCCACAGCACTGGATGTGCAACCACTGCAACCTAGCTCCCTGATTTAGATAGGGGCTGCAATGGTCCTTCATAAGGGCTTGGATGCTCTGTTGGGAGCATGCATGTACCAACACAATACAATACGAGTCAGATCACACTCCCTGATCTGGGGTGAGTGGATCTGCACACCAAGACCTTGACTTGTTTTATCTCTGCTAAGCAGAACTGCTCAGGGAGGTACCTGGGTTTGACACCCTTAAAACATTTGTGACTGGGGCTCAGAGGGTAGGGATTTTTGAACACTTGTCCAGCTGATCAGGCCTTATGGTTTTAAGCAAAAACATTTTCTTCCTAAACATCATTTGCATTGGTTGCTGTCCCTGGTTTTTCATTAGGGAAGTGATCAAAGTTTCTAAAAGTTTGGGAACTTTAATCCAGCTAGCATTGGTTTGGCATTCAGAGGTGTCATGGTTTAACCCCAGCCAGCAACTAAGCACCACGCAGCCGCTCACTCACTGCCCCCCCACCCAGTGGGATGGGGGAGAAAATCGGGAGAAGAAGTAAAACTCGTGGGTTGAGATAAGAACGGTTTAATAGAAAAGAAAAGAAGAAACTAATAATGATAACACTAATCAAATGGCAACAGTAATAATAAAAGGATTGGAATGTACAAATGATGCACAGGGCAATTGCTCACCACCCGCCAACTGATGCCCAGCCAGTCCCCGAGTGGTGATCCCTCTGCCCCCACTCCCCCCAGTTCCTATACTAGATGGGATGTCCCATGGTATGGAATACCCCGTTGGCCACTTTGGGTCAGCTGCCCTGGCTGTGTTCTGTGCCAACTTCTTATGCCCCTCCAGCCTTCTTGCTGGCTGGGCATGAGAAGCTGAAAAATCCTTGACTTTAGTCTAAACACTACTGAGCAACAACTGAAAACATCAGTGTTATCAACATTCTTCTCATACTGAACTCAAAACATAGCACTGTACCAGCTACTAGGAAGACAATTAACTCTATCCCAGCTGAAACCACGACAAGAAGATATATTTCATAAGCCCCGTGGACAGCTGGCCTGGGTCACATGTCTATACCCAAATTTCCCTGTGTGGAAAGCGGAGGCAAAGGCACTGACTGTCCTTCTAAAGTGGTTCTAAGATTTACTATCAAAAAATGCTGCACAAGACCTAAGTATTTTTATTACCATAATTATTTGAAATTATTCAGCAATAACAGGAAAGCAAGATCATCAATGACAGCTGAGCAGAGCTTTAGTTAGGAAATGGTGTGATGATCCAGGCTGACATTTTCATTGCTTTATAAGCTCATTTATTACCTACGTTATTTGTTGTGAGAATCAAAACAAAGTGGGAAAGGAGTTTGCAGCAATCAAACTTAGAGGCAAAGGCTGCGTTTGAACATCATGAAGTTTTAGGAAAGCTGACACAAGAAGGAGCAGAGAAGCTCCAGACTGTTGAGACTCTGAGAAAGGGACCATCAGGAAACACTCTGCAAGCAAACTATGAGTACCTGAAAACACCAACCTCTGCGTATTCATTTTCCTGTAGGGCTGGACACCAAAGTTTTAAGAGAGAGGGTCCCCTTCCTCGGTCAGGTTGCAGGCTGGACCCTTCCACGCCAACGCGTCCCAACCACCGGGAGCTTTGGGAGAGCCTGGCAAAGGCTTGTCTCTGCCGAGGCTCAGCAAGCCCCGTCACGGGGATTTGGAGATGCAGCTCCTTCTTTCTCCAGAGTAGCGCTGGATAGATTTTTGTACAATGTTTTGAAGTGTGACTGTGCCAGACCCTTGTGTCTGACAATTATGTTTGTTTAAGCAAGACCTCTGAGTTTGTAACAATGGAATTATCTATTTTTCAGGACAATTAACACAATGTTTTTGTATTAGCTGAAGGTCAGAGGATTAATGTGGTTTTATCTACAATGCATTTTTAAAAGCTAATTAAGAATCATTCAGTTCACTCTGTACTAAAGACTAAGAACATTGCACATTAGATGACTCTTGCTCCTCTGCAGCAGCAGAAAGAGAGAGAGAGGAACGGAGGAAGAGAGGAATGGAGAACGAGAGCGCCAGCATGCAAATAAACAAATACATCACAGGTTTGCAGTTAATGGAGAGCAATAAAAAACTCCATTCTGGTAATGCCAGAGATAAAATTGTCTCCTGGACAAAAGGGCTAATCTAAAATATTAATCAGCAAGAATATTCAGTATTTGCAATCACAAGCATTCCTTGTTAGAGGAAGAGAGATGGAGGGGAAGAGGGGGAAGTGCTGCTCTCAGAGCATTATTTTAGAGATGTTTGTATCACTTAATGCTTATGGAGCATCTCCTCCGCTCGCTCTCTCTTGCACCTGACCGCCTGTATGCACCACCGCGGGGAAAGCCCGGCTGACGGGCCTCCTGGCAGGGGGGAATCTTCTGGGAGGAGGTAGGCGAGGATGAGGAGCACAGGTGGGAGCGGGGTCCCTGCCGGCCCGGGGTCGTGTGTGGGGAACGGCGAGGAGGGAGCTGCAGGGGTCGCGAAGGGTGGGGGGAGCAAAACGCGACTCAAAATCGGGGGCATCCAGCGAGGATTTGGACACCAGAGCGAGGAGTTTATTTTTAACGCGGTGGCCTCCGCCTTGCCTTTTAATGGGAAAAGGTAAGAAAATTGGAAGCTGTTCCTACACTCTTGCTTTTGGATGCTTATCTACGCTGCTGATTCAGGCGCTCTGAGGTTCGTTTGCCGTGTCTGCCCAAAGCATGTAAATACTATCAGACGTTGAGGTGCCTCATTTCAAAACTGGGCTATGCCCTACTATTCTGTTGATCAAATGTGGCAATTATTTCAGGCTTAAAACCTTTTAGGGATAACAATAGGTGCTGCCAGTCAAAGCTAGAAAGTGCACATGCATTCAAAGAGCAAGCTGAATGAGGAATAACAGCAACATGTGTAGCTAGAATATATTATGGATTACCATCCTCTTGCACAAAGGCTAGTAAACTCTTCAAAATGCAACAACCTACGGAGCTAATAAAAGGGACAGAAATGTGCAGATGTCTCGGTTTGTCTCATTTGTGTCTTTCTGGCATTGGTAGGATGACTCACTGGATTTAGCAACAGCTTGTGAAGATGAACATATTAATAACTTTATGCTGCAGCTCTGCCATAAAATGTAATCTTTTACAATTCCGTATTCTCAAGTGAAATACAAGCTTAGAACCAGAATAAAATTAGAAAAGATATTTGAATTGTCAGCTTATTTTCTTTTTAAATCTGTGTTTATACATTTAAATATGCAACTTAACTTGGAAAAGAGTATTCCCTTTCATCCCCATCCCTTCCCCAGTGTGCCACTCCCTACTATAAAAGACTGAAGCCTATTTAAATACGGGGCTACCAGGATAGTACTCCAAGGTATTCTGTGTCATTCTGTGTATTTTTATGTTGTACGGGGCTACCGGGATGGTACTCCAAGGTATTCTGTGTCATTCTGTGTATTTTTATATTGTACCAAACATAAATTAACATTTTTCTTCCCATCCATAAACACTTGAATAGGAAAGCTTAAGTGGACCATGTATGACTCAATGGCAAAAAGCCAGTTGCTTATTGAAATTTGCATGTATAATCTACAAAGTTAGTAAACAATGGGATATATATCCTCTTGGCTTTTGATAAAGTTCAACAGATTTGAATAATTACATAACAGAGTACAAGGCTTGCCTTGAGGACATAGAAACTATAGCCCTGAATCTTTCAATCCTATTTTAAACCTTTCTCCATGGTTTTAGGCATTACTCTAGTCTACAGAAAGGTTCATCCGAGTACTTGATGGCTCGTAGAAGGAAATATAGAAACTGTCTGACAAAGCAGCAAGTAGAATCAGTGTTTCTAGATATTAAGATGATGACCAAACCACTAGATTTGACCATTTTGCTTCTCCTTGATTTTAATGAGACTTGATTTTAATGATACTGTGTCACTTACTGGAGATATGTTTGTATTTGTGCATGAAACATACTTGCAAATTTACTGAAATAATGGGAAAGAAAAGTTACAACAATTTTAGTGTAGACAAGACCCAAATGTTAATTTCTAATCTTATTGAAAAATTTATCTTTTTATGCTAAATAGCATGAAGCACAAACAATGAGGTTCAGGACACTCACTAACTTTATTTTTAACTTTTGAAAAAAATATTTTCTGGGTAGAGAAAGCCTCAGAAAGATATCTATTTTCTACCACATTAACTGTTTTAATATGCTTATGTTTCTGTTTATTACTTAAAATGAGATGAATTTCTGAAATAATTCATGCAAAAATCTATGCACTTCATTCAGTCATTCCGTGCCACGCACCCTTTGAAACTACTTATCCTCTCAAGTGATTTAGTGTATAAGAGAAAGCAGTGTTTCTAAAGTTTTTGTAAAAATCCTAAGCTCACAGAATTGAAAATTACATGTATTATATATACACATACGTATATGCATATATATAATATGTGTAAAGTACTCTCTCTATATAATATAATGGAAACACATTTCACATATATATATAAAAATATACTGTGATATATATTATATATATATCTCTCCAGCTTGGATTTCTAAGTGATAATGAATTACATACAACTCTATCTCAAATGCTTAAAACCTGAAAGTGCTTACACTAAATAGTCAGATATCTACTGCAGAGAAACACAGACTTCAATTTCTTACCTGCTTTTTTAATTTCAGGGACAGCTGTCTTCTCATGAGCTTTCTCTTTTTTTCCTTCTTTTTCTAAGATTTAATTAAAGAAAGTAATTTGATATGCTAGAACTCTGAATCATACACTCAGATATGCAGTCAGCCAAGTCCTGGTGGGCACATGCTGAAAAAAATGTGACTTATTTGGGAGTTTAGTTCAGATTATTCCCTTATAGCACTTGCACCCAACTAGCCACAGAGCAATCAGCTGCAAATGAAAATTAATCAGTATGCATCAACTATGGATGATTTGAACCCTTAATAATTCATCAAAGGCTAGGCAAAAATCATCAGTGCATGAATGTGGTACCTTTTAGCTTAAGCTCCAGTAGCAATGAGATCATTAAAAAATAATGAATGACATAAATATTTTCCCATGAAAGCAAGACCTTAGTGGATTTTAGATGCTTCCTGGGAATGAATGATCCAAAATGTTATTTAGATGGATATCAAGGCTTTGCAGTTTGGTCACTGCAAGTTTGGGTTGAGATCCTAGAATATAAATAAAGAAATCTACCCTACATTCAGAAAGTGGTGTACCATGAACTGAGTGATATCTCCCATGAGTTTTGTGTATGGAAGTATCACTGTGTCCTGATATATAGATGGAGTCCAGCAAATTGTTTAACAAGCCCATAGATGGCCACCAAACAGGACTTTCTGTTTGTCAGAAAGAGTTTAGAAAATATCAGACACTGAACAGATACTGAAGAAGTGGTAACATGCAAAATAGTGACTAAGCAACTAAGAGGACAATACAGAGCCAGAAGCATTGGATTAACCTAATAAAAACCAATGGGATTTGAGCCAGGAGTGGGAGTAAAAGCTGAATGAGGCCAATAAAAACCATTCCCAAACCATACCTTTCTTCTTGGTTTCAGTCGTAGCCTTTTTTATATCAGTCTTTTTCTTTTCCTCTTTTCTCTCTAAAAAAGGAAATAAAAGTTCAGCTGACTACTTTTACATAGCTAGCTAGATATATACAACACACACACACACACACGTATGTATAATTATTTGGGATGGGAATCCTTGACTAACTGCAGTAGGTTCTAGATTTGATAAGCTGGTCACTTTTTGAGGAGTTTACTATCAGCAGCTCAGAAATACAGCTTAATACTCAGAAAGTGGCGCTGAGGATAGAACTGGAACCAGTAGGTACATCAGATAATTACTTAAGGAAGTACTAATTCAAGAAATTATGCCCATTAACCTGGTGTAAGTAAGAGTTTATTGTGGTGATTCAGTAGCCATGCACCTGTTCTGCTTCTTATATAAAATCTGACTGAATGGCAGCAAAACTTGCAAGTGGTACTTTGGAATAAGTGCAGAACGCCATGAAAAGCCTGAGTATATAATATATCTTTATAACACTTTTTATGAATTGAACATTTGAAATGGTCATTACAGGACTTCAGTCATTCACGGAGAATTGCAGTTAAAGCATCATCAACAAAAGAATATGACTTTTTCTTTTAAAAGTGTCTGCCTCTATTTTGTCAATTAATTAGACAACAGTAGAAATAAGGATAATATTTTTGCTTCTTTTACAAAAAGCTACAACAATTTAAGTACTTGTTCCATGGATGTTATTAATTAGAAAATTAAGAGTTCAGTAGAGGAAATGAAGAAGCTATAATTCTCATTTTTCCTTTGGGAAATGAATCCCCATTTTGATGGGGAAGAATACCAGAGTACAAGAATAGCTAATCTAAATGGTTTTTTTAACTGCTCATCCAGAAAAAGCCAAATTTGTTACCTTCAGTTTGTGCTGCATGGCTTTGGGTGTTGCTGTAGTTAGTGGAACTACTTTTCTTTTTGTGATGTTTTACTGTTATGAATGTAGATAAGAAACCAAGTTTTATTACCATGCAAAACTGCACGAACACTGGACCATAAGCCTTTAAGCAAGTCTTGTCTTTACTTGAAAAATATTTAAGGTATAGGAATATTTTCTAAAGCCAGCAGATCCAGGAAGCAAATATGTTATTATCCCTTGCATAAATTAACATGAAGATAAAGGAAAAATGAAGAAACTTACTTTTCACTTCTCTAGCTACCACAATAGACTTTTCTTCTGCATGAAAAAATATATACAAACAGGGAATGAAAAAAATTAATTGAAATACAGAGTGTGCTTCCTAAACCAAAACAAAATATGTGTATGTGTGATAGAAAAATTGCTATTTTCATAGAGTACATGAATTCCACAGTCTGTCCATGGTAGTTTCATAAATAAAGTTATTTTTGCCTATCATGGAGGCAATGTGTTTACCAATATTCAGGGTCTCCCCAAACCATACTTCTGCTGATTTTCTGACAAGAGTGTTTAATGTTAAACATCATTTTGATGTGTTCCAGTTCTTTCTTGTTTTAAACAGATTTATTCAATGCATTTCTCTTGTTATTGTCTTGACAAAATGAAGCAGAAAATCCTTGCATGTGGTGTAAGGTACAGAATGTTCCTCTCAGTGTTTTGTGCACTTAATGCTCCCTGCTGAAACCCTGAGCGTACCGGACCTCAAGCTACAAATTCCTTTGTGTCCTAAGTGTGGTTTATGATGCTCAGGTTTCTTAAGCACATATAGAGCGTCAGAGGAGCGCTCATCCTCCACAGGCTTGTTTGGAGCTTCATTCTCTTGTAATGTTAATATCCTTGTTATTGTCTCTCTCTCGGGTTCCCTGGAGTCTCTCTCTCTTTGACGTGCTGTTCCAGACTCATGTTAGGGCCCGTGGCTGCCTCCTCAAAACAGAAGAGACTCTTCAGCCTCAGATGACACACAAGCCGTTCCACAGCTCCCCTGCCCTGTGCCACCTGTGACTTGTCAGTGTTTCATTCCCACATGCAATGTACAACTTTTCTAATCTCTAAAATGTGGTTTAATTGTTCGCGCACTCTGCGTGATTTAACTGAAACCGTTAAACATATCAGTTACTGTCAGAAAAAGGCTTCCTTCTGACTCTCTTTCTTCCACTAGCCTTGACTCCTGGTAACTAGAGACTGAAGTGCTCCTGGTACTTCTGTAATTTCCATTTTTTTCTGAGTGCCTTGGTTCTGGTGGAGCTGTTAACAGCTCTGCTCTTCCAGTTAGTTAGATTTTTTTTTTTTTTTTTTTTTTTGCTTCCTTATACTTCTGGTGCTAGGTGATGCACAGGAATAATTTGTAAGCCCAAGGTCCTTACAACCAGCAAGATTCTCTTCAGTCAGAAACCATTTCTGCCTTTGAATTTGTGGTGTGTTGTGTGCCTCTGGGGCCCAGCTAAACCACATGAAATCTGCTCCGAGTTTCATAGCAAGGTTCAGAGCCGTATGTGTCGTGAGAGCCATGAACTGAGACCTGGAGTTTTGAGAAGTGGAGCTTTGTATGGAGGATGTAAAGGAAGTAGGAGGAATTTTTACTGCAAATAACCTAAAGCACAAGGAGGCTACCTCCCTGGCTGCAGAGATTTTATTGCTAAGTCATTCTACCAACTAATTCCACTGACATAATTTTCTCCCATCAAGCTCTCAAGTTGCAATATTCAGAGTGTCCGGGCAGCCTAGAGACATCTACATTTGTTATGAATTTTCTAAAGGATGATTACATCGAGGTATTAAAGGACTGTGGACCCTATTTCCCATTAGCGCTGCCCAATGCAAGATATGCAGTCTTGGTCAAGCCTGAGAAAAACGGTCACAGAGCTTCCACTCACATCTCAGCTGCATCTAGCCCCACTGCTGTCCCTTACAACTACTGCTGACAAAAGTTGACGTAAATGAGAATGATGGACTTGGATATTATGGAAAGAGCTATTTCTGATTTAGGGAAGCAATCCCATTTCTTGAATAAATTTATTTCCTCTCAATTTGAGTAGCTTACATTTAGATTGTTGCATATTAAGTATATATTTAACACCAGCAAAACCTGTCATTTCTGAAGCAGTAAATGCAGTGGGTTTTCTCCAGATATGTACACACCTAAATTAAGAGGCAGAGCAAATAATTAAATAGGAACTTATGCCGGTCTTTTGCACTGTAAAATATGAACCCTGTCTGTTAATTGAAAGTGCTCATTTTTTCAGCTAGGAACAGTAGCAGGACTACAAAAGTCCATGGATCAGCTGCATAAGGAAGGATCATAATATGCATGAACAGTAGGTTACACAAGGAAACACAAAGTGGTTTTGACGGTTCAGGGCCAACTAAAATATGGAATTCAAGTGCAATTGACTATTGAAAAATCTATTGTTATTGTTACTGTTTCTTGATAATGTAATTAATGTTATTTTAACAGCAGGAGCACTGGTCCCGACCCACATTTTATGTACAGGGTGTAAGAGATACGTGTGCAAAAAGACCTGACTTTCAAAAGCCTGCAATGCCTTTACACGAATGAAACAGGGATATATGCAGATGACAGAGTCAGTCAGCAAGACAAGCAATGGACTTTGCATTTAGTCAAGTTTTTTTCTGTAGGCTTTATGCAGAAGTGGAGCTTTATGTAGCACAAGGAGGAATCCAGTGACCACGAGAAGTGTGAATTAAAGCAGTGATGTGCTACTGAAGAGAAATTCAGGTAAAATTTTTTCCTGGGAGAGAAAAAAAGCAGCAGCACAGAAGAGCTTTCTTGGGAAGTGACTGGAGCAGAGAGAACAGCCCTAAAGCAAAGAAACAGCTGGGATGGAATTATTTATTTCTGAATAAGGGGTGAGGGACCACCAGTGGAAATCCAAGTAAGATTCAACAGAGACCAAGAAAGAGGTGTTTCAATCTGAATTGCCTTTTCTGGCTTTGACAATGTCTTTGTGTTATTCTCCTGGGACGCCAACTAATTGTTGGACAACAGGGGGAGGGGAGGTAACAGAAACATGCTAACAATGCAGCACTTGAAAACAGGCCTGGTAAGACCAGTGTGCTACTGGGCCAGCGCTGAGTGGAATCTAAATTTAGGGATGCACGTGAATTACTGGGCATAGGGTTATGGGCATGCCAGCTGGGAACTGGAAGAGGATGGTGCTCTAAGAGTTTCTTCTCTGTATTGCTGTAGATGGTCCATGTGCTCATGGAAACACTGACTCTGGAAGGAATTGTCAGCTCATCCCATCCCCTCTGAGAAACTGAGGTAAGGAGGGCAGCGAAATACAGCCACCGGGACCTTCTTGTGGAGAGGCGTGCGTGTAACAGCCACTAACTAGTGGGACTGAAAGCCAGAAGTTTGGGGATGTTTTGGTTCAGATAAGCCTTCTAAAGTTCAGATACTTATATGAAGCTTATCTGCATTTATCTAAACCCCTGTTGTCAGGGAATCTCAGGAGAAAAGCTCTTGTGATAGACTTTGGATATTGCCTGGCTTTGTGAAATGCTACGACAGCTTTTCTTGCCTACTGATTCTGGTCCTGGCAGAAATAAGGAGCAGCAGAGGTACGTGTATACTCACTTACATGCAAAACAGAACAAAACAAACATTAATTTAGGTTTTCCTGAGAAACTATAATTCAGACTGAACTTAACTTCATTCCAGGTAAAACTTCATTCCATTTTCCTGCAAGCATCTCTGTACACCTTAAGCTGTCACTGGCATAATTTTAAAAGATCATTCCAAAAAAACCCAAGTTGTATTTTTAAATTTGTATCTCCTTATTAATTTTGGAGAGATTATGTTTTTTCGTCCTTTATTGTAATTGGTGACCAAAATCCTTTCCCTGCTGAACTCAGTGAAAGTTTTGCTGTTGATTTCAGCAGGACCTGGATATCTTTTTTAAATATTAAAATAACTCATTGCCTTGCAGGTTTTGGTGACATTTGTTTCCGCATTGCATGATGCTTGGGGTGGAGACTGACCATGACTAACCAGTTGCACTTTTGATTCTAAACAATTTCATACACAGTCACACAATAAGGCCCCTTTAGTGTTACAAACATTTTGGAGGAGTTAAAAAAAATGCG